TTTTTACGGACACAATTATTTTGACGACAGCACGACATCTTGGCTGCAGGACTGCAATTGTCGACGTCGCCAAATTAAATCTATTTCTAATTTTCCCGGCGACAATGAGTAGATGTAGTGCTGCAACATTAAATTGTCGCAAAATTAATCACATATTCTTGATTGTTCATGTTTTTCTTATTTACTTAAATAAAAATACACAATTTGTGAAATAAATATACCAAAATGTCAAACTTTAAAATCAGCTGTTTGCTATGTCGCTGAGGTCTTCAAAATGTTTAAGAAGCTGGCTTCAAGGCGACATTTGTCGACAAAATGATGTCGCTGTCGTTACGTCGTGAAGTTGCAGCCATCAAAGTGTTCCGAGCTTTAAGTTCTTCTAAAACTAAATGCTTACTGTAATGGCCGGTAATTTAAATAGCTTTGTCCCCGATCCCCCTTTTTTATGACCTCCGATATACGTATACAATAGTGTATAAGTAAACAGTATGGAGCCAGTTTTAATAAATATTTCTGCAATACGCAGATGAAAGGATCACATAAAAATGTGTATCATCGAACAAATTCAGAAATCTTGTTGTTTTTGCAGAAGAAGTGCTTAACCTCCCATTTATGTATCTAGTCAAGTTGTGTACTCTTCATTCTTCATTCATCTGATACGGCAACCTGAAGCCGATGAAGCGGACGACATCGTTGGGTAAAGTGCATAATTCTCACGGTGTCGGGTCGTCGTGTTGGAAGGAAATTTGTCAAGGCAGGGCGGGAGTTCGATACATCATAGAAAAGATTTTCTAATAGCGGTTGCCCCTCGCCGGGCAATGGCAAACCTCCGACTGTATTTCTGCCATGAAAAACAGATTCTTAGGCGGTGCAAGGGAATCGGCGTAAAACTGTAGGTCACACCCCTTTGTGTGACAACATGAAGGCGCAGGACATCAATCGTAGGAGAAGCTTGTCCAAACACTAACCTATTGTGTAAACGGCAATCTGTTATTACAATTAAGCTAATCGGCAGACTACTGTTTTGTCGATTTTAAAGTCGCTTTTGACATATGACATATGATGGGTATAGTCCCAAATAAAAGAAGATGAGATACATATGAAACTTCGAGGCCGCATATGCAGAACTAATTTGTCTTTGCAAAAAACCATACTAAATATATTTAGCTTATCCATTCCACATTTGGGAGTTTCGACTAAGTTTAACCACCAAAAACCCAAAATGTTATTAAATATAATTCTATTTATAAACATTCAATTTGAATACATACTCACATTGCACACGATGCACGAATGCTTACCTCTAGGTCATGCTCAGTTATGTTGTAGGTAGAGACCAATTGTTCAACTAAACTATCCAAACGCGAATGCAAGCCCGACAACGCAGCAGAGGCGCCTGAAACCGAATAATTTTGCTGCATCATCATTTCCTTGGATTTATTTTCTAGCGCTGCATATTTGGATTGTAGCATGCGATTCTCTTGTCTGAATTAGGAGACAAAAAAAAAATAACCATTTTATTTAATTAACCAAGTTCAACATAATTTGCGCGTTGCTCTCACCTTCGCTGCTCATTAAGCCGCACTAGATGCCGACATTCATCGCGCAAAACTTTCACCTCCTCTTCGCGCCCCGCCAGCTGTTGCTTACAGGCTTGATGCTCATGCTCGAGTTCTTTTAGTGCATCATGCAGCGTTGTTTTTTCGTGTTGTAGAAAGTCTTGCAATTCGCTCGACTCCTGCTCGATAGCAGCCTTCTCTTGCAATAGACATTCTTGTGCCGCCAACGAGCGCTCCATTTCTAATTGTAGCGTCCGGCATAGCTGACGCAGCTGTCCGATTTCGTGTTGACGCTCGATCAACTCATGGCCACTAATTTGTATCTGTGACTCCAGCATAAGCAAACTATCGTGCCCACTTCCACTACCTTCATCCGACGTTGGCGTAGTAGCGTCACCATCCAGACTTATGCCGCTAACGCTACCGCCAGTGCGACCACATCTACGGCCCGCAATTCGCGCCATTTCCAGCATGCTCATCACACGTTCCGTATTCAAGTGCAGCTCACGCTGTGTTGCTAGTTTCTCTTCACGTTCATGTTGCAGCTTCACGCTGAGCTCGTGCTCACGCTGCGCTAATTGTCGCACTTCATCTCGCAATCGCTCCAATTCAGCGTCGCGCATATCAGTCTGTGTGGTCTGCTCCTGTTGGTCGACAGCATCTATGGCACGCGTTGCTGCCTCGCGTCCCGCAAACACATTTTCCAAATCTTCGCCGGTGAGCGCTGTTTGTACACTGGTCTCATGGTATATGCGCGTTTTAGGCGGTTGCGCGGGTGTTTTGCGCGTGTGCATAAGTGAGCGCGCTTGGTTGCTTTGTGGTGTCGATGCGCCAAACGCGCTGACTAGATTCCTGCGCGTGCCTGCCATTACGGACGTAGTCATGCGCGCATCGCGTGTTATTGAACTACTGCGCGACTCATGTGCCGCTGTTAAGTCTTCTACAGATTTTTGTTTGCGCCGACGCGGTAGCGTGCTATAAGGATTTGAGTTGGCATTCGAGCTGGTCGACGACTTCACCTCCATCGATGCCATCATGTTCGAGGAACGCATTTTTAGTGACATCAAATCAGGCGTCACAGATACACCGCGCTTGGCTGCACCTACGCCAACACTGGAGGTGCGCGTAGTGTTGCCAGGCCAACGGCCGTCCTCTGAAGGCGTACATGGTGTGCGCGCTCGACTTAACGATGGTGTACGCTGCACCAACCGCTGCATGCTCATGGATTGAGTACGGCTGAGTGCGTTCGGCAAGGAATCTGGCTTTTGCGGTTTTGTGGTGCGCGCCGTACTGGAGCGCAACGTAGAAGTTGGCGCTGCCATTAAAGTCTTACTGTTGTAGTTGCTGGTTCCACTAGTGGTCAACGGTTGCTTGTCTGTTTGACGTTGTGCTGATGTCGCAGCTGTTGCAGGTACGTGGCGCGACAAAGATGATGTGCGTTTTACACCCACCGGGCGGGCACGCGGTGTGGTCGCACTGCCAGTGTGTAAATAAGCGCTGCTAGAAGTCGAGTTTGTGGATATCGGCGTGCTGCTGCAATCTGCACAAATAATACATAAAAGTATTTATTAACAGTTCATTAATAAAAATATGTAGCTTCCAAAATATTTACCACGCTCGCGCATGCTTCGCGACATTGGCGTGGCAAAACCACCGCGGCTGGATTCAAATACACGCACTTTGGTCTTAACACTGTTCGAGCGTCGCACAGGCGTTGTTGCAACAGTGGCGCCACCCAACATCGACGAACTCTCGCTGCCATTTTCACTATAGCACTCAAAGCTCTGTGTGGCAGAAGACACAGCGCCATAAGTGGCAATACTTGTGGCCAACTCAGCGCTTACCGCGTCCGAGCCGCAACTAAGCAAGCTAGAGTTGCCAGATAGATTTAGTCCTTGAACGACAGCAGTGCTTGTCATCGTCAACGCTGTCGTCTGATGGATGACTTCATCCAGCCCACCCGAGCTGCTCGCATAACCACCGCTATTGCTGCTCAACGCACGTTGCAGTGAAATGTTCTTAGTGGCACTGCTGCTGTCGTTGCTGTTGCTGTTGCTGTTGCTGTTGCTGTCGCCGCCTACAACGCCAGTCATTGCAGACTTTGTGGTCGCTGTATCCAGCCCACTATCACTTCCGCCATCACAATGGCTGCTACCACCTTCATGCAAGTCTAACGCTGCCATTTTGCTTTCCAACAGCGCATCGCAATCACTCTCCAATTGTGTAGACATGGGATGAGTTAATTTTAAGGAATCGTTAAGATGTCTCTCAGTGCTAGAGGTGCTTGGTATACTTGACGGCAGTTCTAGGCTGACTGCAGATCCATCATTGTGGCCACTTAATTGCTCATCGCTAATGCCGTTACAGGAATCATTCTCAAATGTGTCTTTATCCAGTTGGAGTTCATGTGTCTTATGATGTTCCTGTTCAGAGTCCTGAGTATATAATATGGCGGACATTTTGTTCTGTTTATGGCTGGTGGGCGTTGCGATAAGGCAAAGCAGAAGATTCACTTATACATTTTACCTGAAAATGAAAAGAAATTTAATGATATGATTTTTAATAGAGGTTCAAACAAAATTGCGAATGGGAAATATTTTAAGGCTCAAGTTAATAAAAAAACATTATTGCAACAAATTCCGTAGAATTTCCTCGAAGAAAATATTATCGGTTACGCATTAATTTTAAGGTGCTAACTGAACCCCATCTTCAAAACAGGCACAACTCAAAAATTATATCCGAAAATATAAATGCTTTTGGATGGTACAGAATCAACGCAATTAATGCAAAAACAGTAGTTTTCTAGTTAGAGAACATAATCATGATCCAAAAAATATTTGCATTAATTGCAGATAAATCCTACAAACTGATTTATCCATAAAAAGCGGCCTACATTTTTTTGAAGGAGGTGTGCGGAATAAAGTCATAAGTTTTCTCACCATCAGTTATCAGGGAGTTGAAGTGAGGTGAGTTGGGAATGGGGGTAGGTGATTTGAGGTGAGTTGAGTTGGAATGAGGTGGGTTGAAGTGAGGTGAGCTGGGGTCATTTTCTTTATCTTTATCCTCGTCTTTATTTTTATCTTTATCTTCATTATTTTCTTTTTCTACATATTCATCATCGACTTTGTCCTTACGTGAAGTACCTATTTACATTTACCTTCATCTTCATGTTCGTCTATGTATATCTGTACGTGTCTTTATTTTTATCTTTTCCTTTATCCTTTTCTTAATCAACATATTCACTTTTACCATCATCTTTATATGTATTAGGGTCCTGGTAAACGATGAGAATAATTCTCATGATAATAGAAATTCACTCTCATTCTCACCGTCTAATTACATAGTACGACATTTTCAGTTTTTTCTTTTCTGGGAAATTGATGGAAAAAAGGCTTTTTGATGTTATAAATATTTGCATTTAAATTACATTTATTGTTTAATTAAAATCAAAACGCTTAAACTCGTCAACCTGGGAAAGCTGAGAAATTACTTTTCCTTGTACAATCCAGACTTTCAGAAAAACTTCAGAAAAATTTCATCAATTCGCCCATTCCGACTGCCGAGCAGTGTTAGTAATGGCCCTTGGTCTAAAATCCTGAAAAAGTTAAATAACGTTGTTTAAATATAAAATAGTAGCAGTGTTTAAAAATAAATAAAGTGAAACACTGCGATTGAAGTGAAAACGACAACACTGGAGTAAATCATTTCTCATGAACGTGAATTCCTATTATCATGAGAATTATTCGCATCATTTACCAGAGAACTTTAATTCTCAATTTAAATATTTGCCTTAAACCATTGCTGAGTATGCTCCTCTTTCATCATTCATCATTTCCATCGCATTCGCCATGTTGATTTTTCAATTCACAACCGCCACTAAAAAGGTTTAACTTCAAAAAAAATCATCGAAATCAGTCAATCCGCATAAAATCTAATTAATGTTCTTCATAATTTCTTTGTGAATTTTTCGTTCTTTTAATAGTTATACTGCTATTCGGAGCGGAGACAAATTCAACAAATGGCATATATCATAAAAAACTGGGAAAGCTCAATAAAATTTGGTATGAGACGGCCCTATATGCGGAAAATAACTACGCCCACCTCCCATATAGGGTTTTTTTTGAAAAATACAAAAATTTCGATGACTCCGTAAATCACGAGGCAAAATCACCTAAACTTTATATTTAGGTTTTATATGGTTTTGTCCAAAAATTGGATTTTGTTTAAATTTTGAAAAAATGGGCGCGGCTAGGCATATCACAGAAATTGCTTAACCAATTTCTCCTAAACTTCTATATTTAGTGTATTATATTTAGTGTAAACACGTTATGAACATTTATGTGAAACTACAAAAATGTGCAGTGTGTAACGAGCAGCAATAAAATATGATCATTAAAAATCATCGGCATCTGTGGAGTTATTATTTTTTTTGTTTGTAGCAGGAAGTCGACGACCGACTTAAACTTCTGCTCGAAATCCGTAGAGAATAGAGTATGTACATACATACATATGTCTCTATCAACTTGCAGTGTGTAAGCATCTTAGGTGAAATCGACAGTGCATAAATAATCAATTTATTATTTGAAAATCATGTCATTGTGCCTTTATGTGCATACGTATGTATGTATGTATGCACCAATGTAGTTTGTATAAATGCATTATGAATGTATGTATGTATATACTTGCCTGCCGGTTATGGTGCTATCATTACGATAGCTGTCATTTATAACTTTGTTGTACACTAGTACAAGCCGCTGCTGATTGTATTTATATGCATTTTCGTAATTACAGTAATTTGCTCGAAGCTACTTACAATTGTGTGTTTTGACATTATTTATTTTTAGGTTACATTTTCAGTTAAATCAGGCATGACAGATTTATTAAATTAGTAAGGCAATATTTGGGCTACAAAGGCATTGGTGGATATATTGGAGTTGCTGCTGATGTGTTAGCTGGACGAATTGCAGCAACCGCACCAGTAGGCCTCGAGTATTTCTTTACGATACGTCACCACCACAGACAGCATCGGGTTTAAGAAAGTAGTCAAAGCGTTAAAACCTCATATCGAGTTTTCACTAGGTAATAAAACTATAAAAACAAATTACCATTTAAACGACGCTATGTATGTGGAAAAAAGCTTATTGCCTATTTTTATGAACGCAATGGTACGAATATTATTAATGTTCACTGTATCATTAAAATTTTTGATATTCAATGTCCAGTGAAAATCCAACATTAGACAAAATAGAGGCTGCTATGATTGGAGTACTTTTGGGAATTGAAATTTAAATAAATTTTAAGTAAATTTTAAATAAATTTAGAATTATTATTAGATATAAATTGTGGCTTACCGAACAGTCAATTAGAAAGCTTGGAAAGAAGTTTTTTTTCTGAAGTTCGCAGAAATGGCACTAAAAATGTTTTGAAAAAAATGCATTTGCGGAGTATGGTTTTTTACTTATAGCTATTTTTTTTTTGAGGAAAAAATCTTGTTTTAATAGATTTGTTCGCTTTTTCTTTTTTTTTAATACGACGTTCTGCCAACAAACGAGCGATATGTACTACAAATGAAAAATTTCGAATGTTGAATATTTAAAGATTTCATAATTTTCCTTATCGACAACATATAACAAATACCAAAATTTCACGTCACGAACTTTCTTTTTTTTTAATAGCATTTGGTTTATGTGCATACATAAATGCTGAGGGTTGAGCCATGTACATAAACATAGAATACCAAATTAACAACAACGGAATACAACGGGTACAATCAAAAGTGTGTCTCACTGCTGCTTTATGGGTAGATCCTCCACCTCCACCGCCACCATTAGCATTGTGTTCAACAATAAGTTTCATGCATTTTTTTGTTTCTTTATTTTGGTTTTGTTTTAAAATTTTGTTTGTTTGTTTGCCGTTCGTTCCTGTTGCAATTGCAGCAAAACGAAATCGATTACCTTTGGTAGTTCGCTGCTGTCTGCATCAAAAGCACGCCCAAGCCCATGTTGCTTGAATATGTATGTGCGCATGTATTTAAACTAGGGTGATACATATTTGCACGGGAATTCAATTTCTAATGATCTGTCATAAACGAGAACTTCGGTAGAAGCGTAATTAAATTTTTGATCATAACTCGATGTTGGAAAAGGGTTAACTGTAAATGATTATAATACTTCTAATAAAAATTTTTAACTGTAGTCGTATATTTTCATTACTTGTTATTGTTATTTTATGATTTTTTTTTTCGATCAAGTATTATTGTTTTTTTTTCTTATTTTATATTTTTTCTTGAATTTTTAGTTCATAAGAACGCAAGTATTTATTATAGTCTATAATAACAAAAAAATTTCCAAAAAAGGATTTGATAAAAAAATATAAAAATCAAACCAAAATAAGTTTAACTTTTAGTGCAGAATATTTCTATGTTTTATTTTTACTCGACAATTTCCTTAATTCTTCAATTACAATTCTGTCGCCCTCATTCACTCATTCGTCTTTCTTCGTAATCACGACAGTATGTTTGGCTTTTGTTAAACAACAAATTCCAAAAACTCAACTCAAATATTTACTTTTTAACACAAATTACACTGAATGATCTAGCTACCTCTTTCGCTCTTTAGTCCAAAAGCTTCCCAAGCCTAGTATGTAGACGTCTGTTGGTTTTTGGTTTCTACGTAAAAATGGGATAGCAGTGCAAAGTATGCATAATTGAGTTATTACTGTTTTACTATTATTATTATAGTATTGTATATAACTGTTTCGTCCTGGGCTTTAGGGCACATTCCTTGAACTCGAGAACGTTCCCGTTAGTACGGTCGGTAGCAATTTGTCCATTTCATTCGAGAAAGGCAGCTGGTGATTGCACTAGCCGGACGTATTCTAGACACTCATGAAAGGTAATGAACTGCATTACTGGCAATCTGGTAAGTCTAGTTCATTCACTAGTTTTTCACTGATGCGTCGTATTGAACGTTCGCGGCTTTACCGAGGTAACAGCCGTTTTATTACAACTTCTGCATGGAAGCTAATGGCAGCTAGTGCAATAACTGGTGAATGGTTACAGCTAATGGCATCACCAAGTTAAATTTATTGGTGAATTGCATTGCTGCTAATCTGGCGGGTAGCTGGTTGTGGTTACCGATAGCGAGTAAATTCAATAGTGTCTCACTAGTGTGCGATACTAGAGGGTTTTTATAGAAATCTCTACACATCGAAACTTCGATTACTCTGCATGAAAACTAACACCATTTCGAATGCAAACTCCTCACTCGCGCTTTCGCAGTATTCGTCACAATATGGTTCATTAAGAGTTGCAATACCGTATTCCTCGGACTAAAACTAGTAAAATTGTCATAAACTAAAAATTCGCTCAGAGCGAGAGAGTAACATTGAAAAGTACGGGATCACTTTCTAGTAAAAAATTTTAACTTCTGTCAACTTTAACATAACCTCCAAATTTTGGTTGTAAATTTTTGCTTATTTTATACGTGTAAACACTTTCAAATTGATTAGAAACCACTTAAGCAAGT